AGCTTTGACAGCACTCCTTTGAACTTGGTGATGAAAACTCGAAGTGATTCATTTGATCCTTGTGATAAGTTCCAAAGATCGGCATCCGAAACGCTTTTATCCATAAGGATGGAATATTGCTTTAAGAATACAGCTGATAGCTCGTCGAAATTGCTGATCGAACCCAGCTCTAATTGGGTAAACCACATTAAAGCTTGGCCGCATAGATTTTCCGAAAAAAGCTTGCAGTAACCTGCATCCTCATCAGCTTCATCCAATTCGACTTTTCCAGCAGCGATCAGAAAAGCTGCGAGATAGCTCTTTGGATCCTCCAATCCGCTGTAAGGGTCCAACTTGAGCTTCCGGGAATCTTTGATTCTCAAACTCGCAATTCGCGAGATGAAAGGTGTTCTCCTAGCTTCTTCAATGACTCGATTGATAACCGGCTCCGAACTTGTAGCCTGATGGAACTTTGACTTCATTTCTTTTAGTTCTTGGCTAACCTTCCTCATAGTCTCGAACTGGTCGAGGTTTTCCTGCTCGTATTGATCTGCAAGTTGAGCTTCATCTTCGAGCTGTGCCTCTCCATCCAATGGCTGAACTACATTATTAGTAGTACCAGGAGTTGTTTGTCCGCTGGTTTCATTTCGTGCAACGGAACTTGGCGAGTTGAGTATCCTCCTTCGGATTCCCACAGGATTTCCTGCACTTAAAGAGCGAACACGAGTTTGTATAGTATTGACGTTTTGACTAAGAGATACCTGGGATGTTTGCAACGTATCGACAGCCTTTTCCACATCCGAGAACTTTTGTGATATGTCCGACATGGTTTGCTGCATAGCTTTGAGGGTTTCGGCCAATGATGTCTCAATGGCGTCTCCTCCGGACATTGCTGCTTATCTCGGGAATGTAGTAAAGAAAAATCTGACCACTCAAGAATCCTCTATCCCCACAGACGGCGCCAAAATGTGGATGTCGGATTCACACACTCAAGTATTTTTATTAGAAGGAAAGATTATTCTTGAGGGACAAAAAATAAGAACGTAAAAGGCTTATGAATTGCTACAAAAATTGCTATCGTATTTCTTGCTCAAGAGAGAGATCCCTTTTACATGGCCATTAGCCTCTATACTTATACATAGAAAAATGACATTGAAATGGCTAATTAAGTACAATTATTCTCTCTTAAATGTGTCCGTTTTGATTCTTTGACTTTAATGCTCAACGTTTGAATTTGAGTTGGCTCTGGTCTTTATGGGCCTCGCCTTTTGGCCCAAGTGTCCTTGAACCGACTTACCCGTGTCTTCTACACCGAACTCATGTCGAAGCGCAATCACTTCGGGATTCTCGAAGTGGTTATCACCACTTCGACCGTTCCTTCGGCTCACGGGTCCAATGGGCTTTATCCTTTATGGGCCATTATCTTGTCTTCGTGGCAATCTTTGGTTGGTCTCGGACTTCTGGTGCGGGATCCGACACCAACACCCAGCGTGCCCCTGTTAAACGTTACAGGAAAAAACGTAATTACAAAGAATGTCACTGCCACGTCAGCAAAGCCGCGTCGCCACGTCAGAAATCCCTGATGTGTATTAATGAACTCAGCCGTCGAGCGATATAGCGGCAGTGACGGCTGAGTTACGGTATGTTGCGGCTGATTTAAGAAAAATGGCTGAGTTATGAGCAAACGGCTGACTTACGAGTATAACCCAGTCTGGAGTTACGGCTGACTTACTGAAATATGTCTGAGTTATGATAAAATGGCTGACTTTCGAGCATAACCCAGCCTAAGTTACGGCTGAGTTTTCACCCGATGGTTGATTTGTCAAATTTTTGGCTGAGTTATTTCTTCGACACGGCTGACTTAACTTTCTCCGGCTGGCTGAGTTATCAAAGACGGCTTAGTTATGAGATGACGTTACGGCTGATTTATGTTCGAGTATCATAAATCAGCTGTAATGAGCTGGATTAACGGAAAACTCGGCCTTATTATGGCTGACTTAGTAGCGAAAGATTAATTATTAGAATAGCATGCAATGACGGCCGACTTATTAAACGACACGACTGAGTTAAATATTTTTGGTTGAGTTACGACAGTAAACGGCTGAATTTGGCTGCCGTTTTTTCGTTTTTTAATTACTGTAATAGTATTCATGTTGCGGCTGAGTTAAAATTTTGTTTGATGGCTGGTTTAATTAAGCTGATTTACATTTTCGTTTGGTGGCTTACTTGCCACTTCATCAATTAAAAAATGACGTGGATGCAACATTCCATGTCATCATCATCAAAGGACAAAAAAATAGGGCCAAATTTTTTCAACTCGTCTTCTTCACCTGAGTTTATCACATCACCGGAACTTCCAATTCCTCATCGTCTTCCTCATTCTTCTTCAATTTCTTTCATCCTTCTCCCGATATGGTTGATCCGGTTCCGGTAATTGGGTATAAAAATACAAATACGTATTTAACACCGATGAAAGAGGGTGTAGAGTTGTGCAGATAGATGCGAAAACAACGCACGAAAAACTTGTGAAGTTGGTGCTCGATGATAAAGTTAGAGGAAATGTTGCGTCTCTTATTGTTTCGCTGCAAATTTACATGTCACGGCTGAGTTATGTGCTTAAGGGAAGACGAAAGGTTTGGTCAATTTACATGTCACGGCTGAGTTATATGTTCCAGGGAAGACGAAAGGTTCGGTAAAATTACATTACGGCTGAGTTATATGCTTAAGGAAAGACGAAAAGTTTGGTCAATTTACATGTCACAACTGAGTTCTATGTTCCAGGGAAGACGAAAGGTTCGGTAAAATTACATTACGGCTGAGTTATATGTTTAAGGGAAGACGAAAGGTTCGGTAAATTTACATGTCACGGCTGAGTTATATTCTCCAGGGAAGACGATAGATGGGTGTAAATTATATGTTACGGGTGAGTTATATGCTTCAGGGAAGACGAAAGGTTCGGTAAATTACATGTCACGGCTGAGTTATCATCCAGGGAAGACGAAAGGTTGTGTAAATTATATGTTACGGCTGAGTTACATCATGTTACGGCTGAGTTACATCACTTTACGGCTGATTTATAATACAGATCGGAAAGCAACATTTTTTTGGAGAAGACAATATGAAATTTATTGGTCAAATAACAACAATCAAATTAAGATTCGTAAAAATATGTTTGAGGGATACATAGGAGGAAGACTAAACCGTATGAATCAAAACATAGATAGAAGTAGAAATGTCTCCAAATAGATCGATTGAGAGGAAGATTAAACGAGAGACATGTAAAATCAAAGTAAAAGAGTAGCTATTCTTGATTTCCACTCAAACCTGTAACGAATCATGTAGAATTCCATAGATCTCTTTGTTTTGGGTTTTGATTTTTGATGACTTTTTTCGTGAGCGTGGTTGCGAGTAGATCTGACGAAGCTTTTGATTTGGGACCCTATGGTAAGCGTTGTGGCTGTGAGGTCTAGGAAGATCCAGCATAATCCTGCAATTTGAAGATCTCTGTCAATGTTGTACCCAAGTTAGTTGTAGATTATTAGATCTAAAAGCTTTTCTTGGATTTGGAGACAAAAAAAAAAGAGAAGAGGAGAAATGATCTAAAAGCTTTTCTTGGATTTGGAGACAAAAAAGAGAAGAGGAGAAATAACGTGAGTTTGAGGAGTGTGAGATTGGTGATGTGGATTAATGACATGGATAATCAACTTTTTATTTATTATTTTTAATTAAAAACGAATTAAAAATTATTAATTAAAAAAACTAATGAAGGGTGTTAATTGTAATTACACAAATGGTCAAAACATATGAGTAATTTTTAGAAAATATATGATATTCTAGTAATATTCGAACTTTTGGTTAACATCTGAGTAAATATTTCTAAAATAAATTGGATGGTTGCTGAGGCCACGACTGTTTTGTGATGATTAAACAATCATTAAATCATAGATTAGTCCCATAACCATCCAATTTATTTCAATGATTTATATGTGTATTTTTTCTTTTCTTTTTTTTATTTTGGAATTTTTAATATAGATAGATTTTAGTTAAATTAACAAAATATTCTTTCTATTTTTTTTTCTGGTGCAAACTGTAAAAGTTTAAAACAAAACAAATTATCCATTATCTTCTTCTCTGTTTTCGTCGCCTATTCATCTTCCTTTTTTTCTTTTTCTTTTTGAAGTTTATGAAATTGTATTCAACCAAAAACGTTTTTGCAATGAATGCATCTGTTTTTTAATTACAAATTGAGTTTTTGCCATGTGAATATAAACGATTATGGCATGGGTTTATCACATATCAAAGGAGCCTTTATCACATATCCCCACTCGATTCACTACTGTAGTTATAAAATGTTAGTCTCTATAAGGATGGTAACACAATCGTGAAAGTCCACAACTGTTTTTTTTTTTCAATCTCCTCAAACCTGCCACGTTCATTGGAGAGATTTCTAGGAACCATTTCTAAGCCTCTCCTTCTTTGTTAGGGTAATTTTTTTGTTATTTATTTAGTTTCACCCAATAAACATATATGCTTTTAGAACCATGCTTAGTTTCTTAATCGTCAACTGTTTTTTTTTTCTAAATCGCCTCTTCCAAATGCCAACAAGCTAACAGCTACATAAGAACCACAAACCCCAAGACTGTATCACGCTCAAATTAGATAAGAGCGTGAGAACATAAAGACTCTCTTACTAAATAGGAAACGAACTCGACATCCAAAACAGTTGATATAAATAGGCAGACCAAAACCATAGTAAAAGTTACATGTGAGAACAAAGACTCTCCTACAATATATATTTCATTCGATCAGAAGCTGGCATGACTTTGAAGCTCTTACCGCACTATTCAAATCCTCGACCATCTCAATTCTCTCTTTAGGAGTGATGGGTTTTGAGGAGAAAATAGCTCTTTTCAAACAATTTGTGTTACTTAGTATGTATTTCGCCACTTCAGTCTCTTCTTCTCGTTCCTACTCGTAGCCTTTCCACATGAATGTCTCAAGATGAAACAACAAACATTCAGGAACATTCTTTGGTTGATTCCAATTCCCACAAGCTTGGAGGCCTTCTCTCCAATCCTGAGACCAATGAAAGATAGATCCGTGCAATTTATGTTATTAATATTAGATTATCAAACCTATTGTAGAAAAACTGGAGCTTTTTGAGATGCAAACTCTATTTGAGAAATACCTGGTTAGAAAAACCTATTTGAGAAACCTATTTGAAGTGCAAACTCTGTAAAACTGGAGCTTTATGAGAAAGCAAAGCCTTGTAGACATTCTTTGAAAATGTTCCGAGGTTACCACTATGATCGCAAGAATCGAACTTGAGTTTAGGCAGCATCTTCCAATGAGGAAGCCATTGTTTAGACAAAACACTCGTGGCTATGGCATCTTCGGTAGGAAGCAGAGACAATATCTGCAGAATCAAAGCTTCAGGCAACTCACTGATCCTGTCCTCCTTTACAACATCTCGATTATTTATATTGTCGCCATCTTTTTTGCTGCCAAACACCACAAACAAAAGACATTCACGAGTTTAGTAGTTTCGAGTCTTGGAGATTACAGTTGATAAATAAATCCTAAAACACAAGTCGAAACTAACCATCGTTCCATTGCTGTTAAATCCTTGTGATTGTTTGACCTCCCAAGCTGAGTCCCAACGGCGAGATAGAAGAGTTAGGGTTTCGGAAGATAGTGTATACGTGTGTAATTTGACTCTTTTTTTTTTTCAACAGCTTTAATTAAAATTGCTCAAAATGTGTTTTTTTTTTTTTTTGTCAATTATATTCCAGTGAATTTAACATATTTCTAAAAAAAAATCAAAAATCCAGATTTTTTCAATCACAAAAAAAAACTCTAATAAAAGTTATTTATCGATTAAATGTTTTCGTTCTTAAAATTCCTATGCTAAAATTTATTTCCACCCAATGCGTAAATGAGTTTTGCTAACTGAAACATTCGCGGCTTTAAATTCAAGCACGGGATTAGGCCTATTCTTATAGAGATGGCCTAATTCTATGTAAGAATTGTACTTCTTTGTGGAAGAGCTTCCTTGCAATAAAAATATCTCGAAAACTGGTTAACATATATATGTTTCCACATCAAAATCTCAACCAAATCCATAGATTGTGACATTGTGTGACCCTCTCTGTTCTTACCATTCTTAGTTTTCATTTAGCAAACATATTGCCATTACTAGTTTACTACGGCTAGATAATACTAAATAAATAACAAATTAAATCTATACTAGTATTTTTGCAACACTTTGGTGACGGGTGGGTAAAAATGCTTCCGGATATATCGGATACCCGAACCGTTTTTAAAATTCCTTCACAAAAAATTTGTTGGGTCGGGTTATATTTAATCCAACTCATACACCGGATATTCCATATTTAATAATTTAGATATTTAGAAGATTTGATTAAGATTTATAATTATGATTCTCCTATCATATTTGTTTGATTTGTTTTTCACTGTTTTGAATCATCATATAATACATAAAGTAGAAAAAAATCAATTTTTTTTTTCTGCATATACTATGATTCGAAATTTTAAAAACGGGCATATATTATCTAATTGACGAAAATGTGTGTTCAACGTTCAACATCGATTAAAATATTAAGACAATGATTCATAATCATATCATAAATAAGAACATTAATAAAATAAAGGAGTTTTTTGGCCAGACGGGTTTGGCGGGACGAGTTTTTGAATCAACAATAATAAAAATATTAAAATATCTTTAATCCGCCGCTTCAATACGGATTAAATCCTTTTTTTCTAATACCACAAATATTAGACATATTAAATCAGTCTCATTTAGAAAAAATTGTATAAAACCAAAAATTGTCCCGTGGTATAATGTCTCGTGGTCTTAGAGGTTGATATGATTTGTAAACTTTTATATATAATAAATAATCATTAAATTTCAAAATAAAAACAAATCACGGGACGTGTTAAGAAATTACGGAACTGGTTATATTTCGGAAAGGATTTATATGGCAGACGAATTTGAATCAATATTTATATACCGCTTTAATACGGGTTAAATCCTCAGTTTATTAATAATTGTCTCGTGGACTCGTGGTATACCGTTACTTAATAACAATTGTAAACTATAATATAAATAAATATGTTATAAGAAGATACAATTTACAAAATATTTTTATATTAACTTTAAAATTAAATCATCTCGCGGTGTACCGCGGGTTAAAATCTAGTTAAGATTGTATAACCTTAACATACAGTTCAGAATTTTGAACCCGTTAAACATACTATAACTCAATATCTAAAACGAATACGTCTTTAAAAACAAATTGAAGTTTGTAATACTTAGTACTTGCATCTGCTATCAGTTTCTTTGAACACAAGTTGGCATGAATTCGAAGCCATGACCACACTTTTCAATTCCTCCACCACCTCAACCATGTCTGGAGAATCGTTCTCTTCGTAGATTTTTATGGTGAAAGTCGCTCTCTTCAAACGATTTGAGTTCCTTAAGATGTATTTCGCCACCTCCTTTTCATCTTCTCCTAGCCTTTTGCAGCCTTTCCACATGAATGTCTCGAGATGAAACAACAAGCATCCAGGAACATTCTTTGGTTGATTCCAATTCCTAATGGCTAAATGATTTTTCACACCATACCATTTCTGAGACCAACGAATGGGAAACTCAATGTATGCTATTATTAAATCCATCACAAAAATTTAAAACCAACTTAGAAAATTTGCTGAGAGATGAACATTGCTTACACCGATGAGCTTGAGGACTTGCAATTTAGGAGAACTATCGAGCATGAGCACTAGTAGATTCCACCACTCTGCTTTATTTGTATACAGCTCCAAAGATACCAACTGATAGAAGATGCGACCAGTAGGATACTTAATCTATACATGAGGCAATATTAGCACAAAAACAATGTGATAACAACAAGTGACCCGAATAATTGCAACAAAACCTTACCTCTAATGGTGATAAAGCCAAGGAAAGACGTTTGACTGAAGTTAGAGATTCCAGAAGCTTCTCGTTGATTATCTTAGAGACGTTGATAACCTTTGCCTCCACCAACTCTGGTGCGTTCTCAATCAGACAAGACTCGAGAGCCTTAAACCCATCAATCTTCAAGTACTTCAATGAAGGAGCATTTATCACATAGCCCCTACAGTGTTTTGCATCATTGTCATCATAAATTGTTAGTCTCTGTAAAGATGGCACTGCAATAGTGAAAGTCTTCACATCCAGTAGATTTCGTCGATACACAACCAAATTTTCAAGTTTAGGGCAGCCAGAAAAAAGGTTAATAACCGAATGATCGTAGTTATAATCCATATTCTCAAGACGCAGAGTTCTAAGAGACTTGAGACAAACCGGAGAAGGGGCATTAACATGAATCCAACCCTTGAGTGTCAAGGTCTCTAGTGTTTCACAATTATACAAGCTTTTAGGAAATTGAAACGACAAATATTTTTCAGACACAACATGGAGAACCAACTCACGGACATGGCGTGCGTATGCAATTCCAATCCACATTCCAACATCCATAGAACTACAACTGTTAAAACTAAAACAGAGATGCAAACTCTCTAGAAACGGAGCTTTATTGGAAACCAAAATCCTGCAAAAATTCTCTCTATACTGTTCACTTTGATTGTTGGGATAATAAAACTTGAGTTTAGGTACCAACTTCCAGAGAGACCTCCATGATTTAGACAAAACACTAGTGGATACAACATCTTTTACTTGAAGTAAAGACAATATCTGCAGAAGCAGAGCTTCAGGCAAGTCACTGATCCTGTCCTCATTCACAACACCTCCATTTCTCAAACTTTCGTATATCCAAAAGGAAAAAAACATGAATCAATTGGATTACGAGAACAGTTGATAAAGAAAAGGATTCAGAGAGAGAGAGAGAGGGATAACAATTGTTCATAAAAACATACCATCGGTTCATTGTTGTTGATAGAGATAACTATTGGTCAAGAATTGAAGTGTTATCGCGTTACAAACGTTCTTTTAGCCTCTAAAAGCTCAGAACGATAGCTTTTTTGGTACAGAAAGGCCTTATTCTTACTGCTAGAGAGATTGGAGCAGAGAAAACGGCAGAATTGTTCGGTGGATATTAGGGTTTTGAGGAGGAGGATTAATTCACACACTTGTCTTCTCTGTTCTCTACCCTGAAAAAACTAAAATCAACCTTTTTTCTATTATTGCCGAATCTAAAATCTAAATCTAAATCTTTTAAGCAAAACTTCTATTTTTTTAAAAAAGGGAAAAATTCGTATCCATTTAAGAATTTAACATGTACTTAACTTGACTTGTACGAACGAATTTTGACTTCTTTGTGAAAAGAGCATCTTGCAATATAAGTAGGGAACTAAACCAACCGGTTTAGTAATTGCAATATCTTGGAAACCGGTAAACATATATGTTTCCAGTTTCCACCATTCATGTTTTTAACCATCTTTTCGCAAAGTGAGCTGCAGTTTTCACAGTTTAGCAATTTACATAATTTCAGACGAAAATGCCCCTGTGTGGTTTACCAAGTGAGATTGTATTAAAAATATCACAATCCCAATAAGATTGTATAACCTTAACAATGCCTAAAGTTCAGAATATTGAACCGGCTGAAGTAAGGATATCATATTTCTTCGAACACAAGCTTGCATGAATTCGAAGCCATGACCACGTTTTCCAATTCCTTCAACCTCTCAAGTTTCTCTTCTGAAAGACTATATTTATTGGAGAATGTTGCCTTTTTCAAACGACTTGCATTCCTTAGGATGTATTTCGCCACCTCTTTCTCATCTTTTATTAGCCCTTCATAATCTGTCCACACCAATGTCTCGAGGCAGAGCAACAAACACTCAGCCACATGTTTTGGTTGATTCCATCTCCTATAAGCCCCACGATGTCCCTTGCTAAACCAATCCTGAGACCAACGAGGGGAGGAAACACTTTGTATATTAGATCATCAAACCCCGAAACTGAGCTGGACTTTTTTTTTCTTTTTTAAGATGAATTTACAATACTTACACCGATGAGCTTAAGGACTTGTAATTTAGGTGAAGTGTCAAGCATGAGCATAAGTAGATTCCACCACTCTGGTTCATTTGTATGTAGCTCCAAATATATCAGATGGTGGAAGATGGTACCAGTAGGAAACTTAATCTATTGCATGATGCAGTATTAGTACAGAAACAATGACATAACAAGAAGAAGAAATTCAATCAATTGTAAGAAAAGTGTACCTCCAAGGGTGATTCTAACTTCAAAGAAAGTCCTTGGACTGAAGCTAGGGATCCAAGAATGCTTTCAAAGACTATACGAGACAAGTCAATAATACTTGCCTCCACCAGCTCAGGTGTATTATTCTCAATCAGACAAGACCCATCTTCTATAATCCCTTCAATCTTCAAGTATTTCAAAGAAGGAGCATTTATCACATAAGACCGAATTCTCCTGACACTCATTGTCAGCAGTAAGTGTTAGCCTCTGCAAGAATGGCACCGCAATAGTAAAAGTCTTCAAACTAAACTCTGTAGATTGATGAATCACCAAAATTTCCAGGCTAATACAACCAGAAAATAAGTGAACAACTGATTCATCGTCTTTGTACTCCATTACGTGAAGGTGTAGAGTTTTAAGGGACTTGAGACCAACCGGAAAAGGGACATGTATAAGAATACAATGATAGAGTTCCAAGGTCTCTAGAGTTTCACAGTAATACAAACTTGTGGGAAATCTGAACGACTTCCCAGAGTAAGATTCAAGTACCAACTCACGTAGTTGGCGTCCAAACGCAATCCCTAGCAGTAACCCAATATCAATACTAGAGCCGCAATCAAAACTCATTTCAAGATGCAAACGCTGTAGAAACGGAGCTTGATGTGAAAGCAAACACTTGCAAACAATATTGGAAAATGTCTCGAGATCATATTTGCCATAGTCAATAAACTCAAGATTAGGCACCATCTTCCAAAGATACCGCCATCGTTTAGCCAAAACACTCATGGCTACAACTTCTGTTGTTGGAAGTAAGGACAATATCTGCAGAAGCAAAGCTTCAGGCAACTGACTGATCCTATCCTCATTGCTCAAACTTTGACCACAACTTTTGCTGTAAAACAAAAAAAATCCCCAAAATTCAAGAAACGAAAGAACACTGAGTTAATTTGGAGCTTACAGTTAAAGAAACCCTAAAAACAGATAGATGAAACATACCATCGTTTTATTGTCATTGATAGAGACAAAAATCGAAGTGAAGAAGATCAGCTCGGTGCAATAGAGAACGAATCAATTCAAATCGGAGTTTGACCACTAAGAAAGTTTACGGCGGTGAGAAAAACCGACAGACTTTTTTTTTTTTTTGGCAAAGAGCTCAAAGATTTTATTCACCGATACAAACCGGATGAAAACCGACGACCATCCATCAATTCGATTTTGTATAATTTTGGTTTAAGATTTTAATTGAGTTCTTGTCTCGCCTAGACGTTGACAATTGGTTTTCGTCCATCAAATCGTCAATGAGAAGTTTTGCCGAATCTGAAACGGTAAATATTCAAAATCCGAATACATACATATCATGTTGGGGAAGTTGCATATCAAACGGTCAAAGAAAGGCAATATTACAGAACTCAATATCCAATTAAACAGCATAAAAAAAAAGTTACATGTTATAACAAAGACTATATTTCTAAGTTACATTCGAACACAAGCTGGCATGAATTTGAAGCCCTGACCACATTTTCCAATGCCTCCATCATCTCAAGATTATCAACCATGTCTTGAGAATTGTTCTCTTCATAGATTATTCTGGTGAAAGTTGCTCTCTTCAAACAATTAGAGTTCCTTAGGATGTATTTGGCCACCTCTTTTTCATCTTCTCCTAGCCTTTCGCAGCCTTTCCACATGAATGTTTCGAGATGAAACAACAAACATCTGTGGATGTCGGATTCACACACTCAAGTATTTTTATTAAGTAGAAAAGATTACTCTTGAGGGACAAAAATAAATATGCAAAAAGCTTATGAATTACCACAAAAATTGCTATAGTATTTCTTACTCGAGAGGAAGATCCCCTTTACATGGCCATTCGCCCTTATATTTATACATAGAAAAATGTCAATTAAATGGCTAATTAAGTACAATTATTCTCTCTTAAATGCGTCCGTTTTGATCTTCGAGATTTAATGCTCAACGTTCAAATTTGAATTACCTCCGATCCTCGTAGGCTTCGCCCTTCAGCCCGAAAGCCCCAAACCGAAATGATCTTTAACTTCGACTTCGTCTCCTCCTCGAGGTTAAACCACTCCGATCCCTCTTCGTGGTATAACCACCTCGACTAAGTTCTTGGGCTTATAAGTCTAACGGGCCTTGTCCTCTATGGGCTTCTGTCCTGCCTATGTGGTAATCTTTGGTTGGTCCCGAACTACCCGTGCGGGATCCGACACCAACAATTAGCCCCCCAAGTCTTCCGAAGTGCTACCTCAATTCAGAAGATTTTAATGCTGAAGTGACCAAAGATTGCGCTTGAGAATCTTCTGATTTCCCGCCGAAAATCCCATCACTCCTTTAATTTCGGCACTAGCCATTTTTAACCGAGCTACATCTGTCATCATTATGACCGTATATTAATTAATTACTATTAAAATGGGAAAAAACCTTCCCAGTTCCCACACAACTTCCGAGGCGGTTCCATCATTTAGCTTGTGTAAGGTAACTTCTTTTCATCATCATTTTCTACTTTTACTTTTGCGCTTTAATCAAAACTTCTCTCTACTCTTCTTCGCCGAACCCTTCTTCGCCGGATCTTGAATTTTTCATTTTTCTCCGATGACTTCCGATTCTGAGAGACTTGAGTCACCGTCTTACGACGAGAGACGTTCTAGCAACGACGAATGCACTCGTCCTAACGACAATGCTGGTCCGCATTACAAATCCACCTGTACTCTTCAATCCCTCAAGCGATTAAAGGGGTTTTGCCAGATTCCTCCTGGAATCATAGCAGAAGCGCAGATAGCCGACCCTACGGAATCCCCGGAGAACCACCGCGACGGCTACTTTTGTGTTTATGAAATCTACTTCAAAGGCTGCGGATTGACCTTCCCCCTTCCCGAAGCCCTAGTTCGATACCTGGCGGCTCTTGAGATTGCTTTACCTCAACTAACCCCCAATCTCCTCCGAACCATCCTCGGGATCATAACCGTTGCGGCAGAGGCTGGCTACGTTATTGGAGTCCTCGAGCTGAATGAACTCCTAAGCGTGAGAAGTTCATCAAAGAAAACAGGGTACTTCTCGGCGTACCCAAATGCCAACCGGAACGTCATTTTGCACCTCCCGAACAAGGATGAAAACTGGCACCATCCTTGGTTCCTGATTAAGAAAACTCCTGCTTCAATTGGAAATCTTTCCGATGTACTCCCATCGAAGTGGTCTGCGAAGCCTGGTAGAAATTAGGTCGTATATTACTTTCCTGGTTGTTTTATTTTTACTGACTGAACTCGTTGTTTCACTTCGCAGATTTCATCGCTTCGAATCTTCCGACTGAAGAATTCATCAAGTTCTTCAAAACAATCCTTGAAGGGGAAACCCTTTGGAATTCTTTCACCCTCGATCGGTTCGTTGAAGCGAATCGAAAACTCAGGATGAGCCCTCCCAATCAACTTCATCGTCTTCCGCCCCCTCCCTCAACCCAGGGAATGTCAGCTCGGGCCCTCACTGCCCAGCGTAAGAAGCTCTCCAAGCTGATAGCTGAGGCTTGCGATGAAAACAAGGCGTTCCTTGCGGCCGCCATTGACAAAAAAACTATAGCAGGACCCTGTTGGTTGATGAAAACAGCACCGAGGGAGCCAGATCCGTCGCTGCTTTCAGATTAACACCTCGCCGTGAACGTCATGAAGAACGTTCTCCTCGGAGAGTTCGATCTCCTCGTCGTGACTCTCCTCGTCCTGCCCGAGATGATTTTGGCAACGAACCGCTTAAGAACTTGGTTAGCAAGAAGAGAGACAAGTCATCTCGCGGTAATTCTTCTCCGCAAAGGGAGAAATCGAGGGTCCGGACTGACCGTTCTCCTCGATCGTCGTATCCTATTGAACCAATGGGTCCTCCTGCTCCCGTTGACATGTCTTCCTCTTCCCAACATGGTGGTAAGTGGACTGCCCGGAGCGCATCTCCCCAGAAGGAAAGTTCTGGAACTCAAGATGTTCCCTCGAAGTCAAAACCTGCTCTTGTCCCCCAGATCAAATCGCTTACAGGTGACGATTTATGCATTCTTAAAGGTTTTCACCCCATCTTGATTCGAAATCTTACCATTCCCCTTCTTCTACCTTCACAGTTATGGAAAAAGAAGGTAACGTCTTCCGATGCTTTAAGACCTGATCGGGTCTGATCCTACCAAAATTCGACAAATGGCGTCCTGCAATTCGCGAACGCTATTTACTTCATGCGTATCATTCGTCTTGGGTTAGTTTCTCCAAGTTTTTTTTTTTTTTTTTTTTTTTTTGGTTTCGCTATTACCCTTCATACTGACTCTCCATCCCGAATTTATATGAAATGTTAGGCAAACAGCGAACTCAACGATATGGTTGAGCACTACGAGGGACTGTTGCTTAGCCAGCTACAGGAGATTGGTTCGTTGAAAGGCAAGCTTACTATTGTTGAGGATGACCTTTGTTTGTCTTCCGGCTCCAAGCAAGATCTGGAGGACAAGGTTGACGGTCTAACATTCGAGCTTGCGTAGATAAAGGGGGAGCTGCAGGACCAGTACGACCGGAATTACAAGCTCCAGGATGAACTTTCTGGTGTTCAGGGTAGACTTCATGAATCTGAATCATCCGCCGATGCCCTGAACAACCAACTTACTGAGCTTCACGCGAAGTACCAGGCGATCGCCAAGTTGCGTGATTCCGAGTTAGCAAGGTCAGCATCGAAGGCCAGAAAAGAGGTCAAGGAACGCGGGATGAAATTGATCCAAGGGGCCATCCGCTTTATTCAAACTGAGAAATCTAGGTTAGATCTGGAATCTGACATCAAAGAGCACGAGAGCAACCTGATCCTGTTGGATCAGATCCATGACAAAGATTTCTCCGAAGCGCAAGAAAGGTCCGAATTGACCGCTAATTTATCTGAAAAACGAAGTCGCTTGGCAGCTTTTCCCGCTTCAACCTTCAACCCACAACACTTCGAGGAATTCTTTACTGAATCACCTCCCCCAAGTGAATCGGGTCTAGACTGGGCAGGTAATCTCCAGTTCTCGATACTTACTATCTTTTTCTTGCCTTATTATTATTATTATTTTTTTTCTTTTGTTGACTGGAACTGTCCTTCCTAGGCTCAAGTGAGCCAGAAAATGCCGCCCCTCCCGAAGTTCCAGCTGCACCGGAGGTCACCCCGACGGATGGTTGTACCGTGGAGAGCGGACCAGGAGCTTCGTCTGATCAAGCACCAGCCAAGGAGGTGAATGAAACTTTGACAGCCGAGACGGAGTCCGAGGTGGCTGTTAATCCTTAGTGGCTGTGTCCACTCTAAATTGGGGATTGTCCCATTTATTTCAAAACTTAAATTTGAACATGTTTTTGCCTAAGGAGGCTTTTTTTGTCATTTTACAAAATATTTGCCTGAGGAGGCTTTTAAACCTTTTTAGGTCATGATCCCAAGAGGGTTTGGTTAAAACTATGTGCGGGTTTGCAAAGTCCGCTTTAAACCTTTTGTGGCCTTGTGGTTATGCTTTCGAGACTTTTAGGCTGATCAGGCCTTTCTCTTTATAATGCGAGAACTGAGCTCGGCTTAACGCGAGTTCCCCACTTCGGGTTTAGTCAACTCGGTAAATTTGTTGGGCTTGGGCCTTAGAAACTCTTTACAGCTAATGATTTTTTTTTAAAAAATGCGACGGTTGTTCTTTCCTTTCACAACCCTTGAAAATAGGAAAAGCGATACGTCTTTAAGGCAATAACTGCCCTTTCTCGATTTCCAAAAATGGTTTAAACCATTAGGGCACACCACCATTATAGAATTTTCATTCCCAAGACAAACCCTAATCCTATTATAAATAGGAGCTTGTTTACCTTTGATCTTTCATCAAGAAACTTCACAATTCATTCGATAAATACCACATTAATGGAAAATGAAAACGTAGTCCCCGTTGATCCTGGCAGCCCACTCTTCTTGTCCGGCGATGGCTTTGAACCGGCCGACGTTCTTTTCCCTCACGCCGTCTTTCATTTTCCTTCAAAGGAGAAGAAAGAGGCTTGCGACTTTATTGACAAGGTTAATATCTGTCGTCTTTGATTAAAAACTTTTTGTTTTATTTTATTCATTCATCTTTATGCTAGGTCGCCGACAAACACCTTCGCTTGTGTGAGGAGAGGCAGCGGCTAGGTCTTAAAAGGCAAACACTCGAGGCTCGCATCGCTCGAGTGGAGAGGAAGATAAGGGCTCTGGAAAGTGATCCCTTCCAATGGGAATGGCGGAACTTTGATTCTGTTGCCGAGATCCCGAAGATGCTCCGGATGTACCTCCGTGCTAAAGGAGTTCCGGGTCCTGTGAATGCCCCCGTCTATACCGTTCCATCTGATAGCGAGGAAGAAGACGAGGAGGAGGCCAGCACCAGTCGGAAACGCGTTCGGGATCGTCCCGAAGTGGATGCCAAGAATAAGGCATCCACTTTGAAAATTAAACCGGCGATGAAGGAGCCTGTTCCTGAGCCTCTTCCTTAAATGTTCCCTACCTCTGCTCCTATTTTGAACTCGTAATGGGCTTCGGCCCCTTTTTTTTATTTATGGAAACATTTGCAATTTTTCTTATTATTCAAAATATTCTCGGAGATACGTCTTTTAATGCAGGATCGGTTTAAGAGCATAAATCTCTTCGCGAATCACTCCAAGGGATATGACGTTCTTATAAATTATGGTCTCAATTTCCCTTTACTCCTCACCACTCTT